TTTTTTTTTTTTTTTAGAGCCTTTGGAGATGAAAGCGACATCTACGGTACAGGCAACACTGACGCAAACAGTTCCACCAAATGCGCGGGCTGAGTCGGATCATGAAATAATCACGCTAGATTCTGATGAAGAACCATCTGCCGAGAAGGAGTATGTTTTATATTGCTTCTGAGCTTGGTTGATTGCACTCTAAAATTCGGTATTTCTGAATCTTATGGGATTCCGATACTGTTTTCTCGTTTGAGTATCTATTTGGCTATGTGGCTAGGTTGCAAGCTTGAGCAGTTATAAAAGCTAGGAAGCTGAAATTTCAGGAGGATGTTCCAGTTAGTATAGGAACACACGATGATTTTGGCAGCAAATTTTCCAATTCGGATTGGATGGGGTTGAAAACAAATTTAAGGGGATACTGGCTACCAGGTGCTCGTCGCTGTCTTTTCCTGGGTGCTAATAAAGCATTCTTTATTCACAGAGCAAAATGGTGTCATATGTTTGCGTATGATGAAAAAACGCCCCCATTTTATTATTAAATCTAGGACTGATTTTTCCAGGGATGTCGACAGCAGCGCCGCATTTCTTAACTTCTTTTCGGACGGGGTGTCCGGTTATTCGAAGATGTATGATCCACGTTACAGACCAGAGGAACGCCCGCAACTTTTCGCGGCTGATCTGGCAGAGGTTGTGGGCTATTTCTGTTTCTCATAGTTAAATTTTTTTTCAGGTCAAGATGTATTAAAGATATATTCAGCCCTTCCAGATTAAGATTGTTCGATCCTTCCTCGTAGTTTCAAACCCAAAGCGCGCACACACACACACACACACACACACACATCGAGGGCTTTATATAATTTTTTTTTCCTCGATTTCTTAGAGAAGATAGTTCGGTGTGCGTAACTGCTTGACTTTTACTGCATTATCGACCGCTAGTGCAGCGGACCGCCAAAGCTTAACTGAGCAAAATGCGACACAGTGCTTCTTGACATGTCTGGATCTGTTTGGGGTTTTGTCTCGTCGTACTTTTGCACTGCTTAGTCCATTGCCATTGAGGTGCCTGGGTCGTAATTTTATAACAGATTTACATATGATTTTTTTTTTAAAATGCATTTACGCATTGTTGCGATATCGCTATTTGGAAAAACTTAAAATACTGGGAAAAAGACAGTGCTGAAAAAAAAGACAATGCTGAAATAAAGACAGGAAAAAAAAAACAGTGCTGAAAGTATGCCTAAGATTGCCACGATTTTTGAAAGCGAGCTTAGACTTGTCAACTCTGTCTATGACATAAATTTTACTGACAATGACAATTGTAAATGAACGAATTTAGGCTCAGCCATGTCAGAAAGATTTCACAGCCACAGTGAATGCAGACAGCGATTTGGTTAAATTTAGAAAAAGGAAGCAGCCGTGTACTGAGGTAGTTCCAGGATTAGTATTTTTTGAGCGATTTTTTGAAATAGGTTTTTGTTTTTTTTTTTTGTTTTTTTTTTCACTAGAATTGGATTGTCAACAACGGTACGGGAAGAATTTGTCATCATGAAACAAAAGTCTTCCTTTCTTGGATGATCTTGATGTTTCGCAACTCATGTAGCAAAAAAAACCACTGTGTGGTCGCTGACCAGTATTCGTGCGGTGTTCATCTCCCGGTTAATAAACCCCTAAGGCGGTCTCAGCACTACGGGATTCTTAGCATTCCATGCTGCATCTTTCTGCTTCTGTGCTGTATTTTGAGCAAAGTGACCAGGCACTGGCTGGAAGAATGGTGCAAATTGATGCTGTCGTAGCTGGCTCTCCCTGACCCAAGCAGCAGCGTACTTCACTTTCATCGTACCGCATCTTCGGGCTACAAGTGTTGCTGGCATTCCCACTGTTGTTGTTCTGACCAACTTTGCAACATTGTGCCGTTGGATAGGAATTAATTTTAAAACATTTTTCGAAGGAAACTTATAGTCCCATTAGTGGTTTTGCAGCACCTTGTGTATGACTGTATTCGAGATTTCTTTTTATTTTCTGAGAGGGTTTGGACACGCTTTGTGCCTTATGATGGTATAATTAATGATTAGCTGCTGCTTGTGTGGACAGTGGTACTGATCTGGCGTCCCGGGAATCTAATTAGCTTCATTAAGAAAGCGGTTTTTTTTACTTCGACTCGTTCTCCTCCCTCCCTCTCCTCCCCCTTGATGTGGCCGTTAAATAGATTAGAAGCATTTTCAATCAATTTGTGTGCCATGTTTCACTTAAAGATCAATGTTGGTTAGTTTTTTCAGCAGTTACGTCGCCGTTCACCAAAACGTGAAGACAATCACTCATCGAGACGGAGAGACTCGCCACGACGATCGCATACCTCATCAAAACACGGTCATAGGCGCTCTAAAAGTAGGGAGCGAG